AGGGAACGCTCTGCTGTGTGCAGAGTGGCTGCATTTGCTGCTAGTTTTGCTTCTTCCTCCCTGACTCCCTGACCTTTCTTTCCATTATGCCTCTGTGGACCACACCCAGACTTTTTACTGCCTTCTTCTCTGGTCATGAGATTGAGCACTCCCTTTGCTCTCTGCCAGCTGAGCACATGGATCTATCATACTCTCTCTGGGCAAGGACACTAGTCACATAGCCAGGCCTGGGCACTCCATATCTTGAGTTTTCCTTTTCTGTGGTCGTTTTATAGGTCCTCCATTCATAAAGCCACATGTGTTCAGAAAATGTGTGCCCCTGATGGCTGCAGGCTATTCAGAGACCCTCAGGTGTCCTGACCCTGAATGCCACCAGGAGGGGGTGAGAGAGTAGTAAATATCCTTTCCCAGCCCATCGGGGGGAACAGCTCGAAGTAGAAAAGGTCTAAGTAATTCAAGCCTTTGTATTCCTCCCCATGGAACCACTTTAGCTCTAGGAAAGAGAGGTTCTCCCTACATACTCGCTGAGCATCTCAGTTTTTGGGATACATGTATTGTCTTTCTGAATAAACATTAAAGACATCATAGAGAGTGGAGTAAACAGTAAATACATGGCCTTCTACTTCTTCCATTTTTAAATGAAGACCTTGATACTGTTGACACACCAAAATAGCCCAAAGTCCAGGAGTCCTAGCACAAGTGACCCTTAAAATCTGTCTTAGAGCACTGTATACTAATATAAGTAGCAGGAAACCCCTCCCTGTACCCTGCCTTCCAATCCTCTACTAATCTGCATCTTCTTCCCCTTCACAAGCAAAAGCCTAGAAATGCTATCGGTATTCCCTGGCTCCATTTCCTCAACTACTCTTCACACCTTATTTCACTGTGGTTCCTATACTCAGCACTCTACTGAAACTGCTCTTCCGAGGTCAGCTTCCACCTCCTTATTGCCACACCCAATAATGTTTTTTTTTTTAATAGATCTTAGTTTTTAGAGCAGTTTTAGGTTCACAGCAAAATTGAGGGGAAGGTAAAGAGATTACCCATTTACCCCATGTCCCCACACATGCATAGCCTCCCCATCATCAAAATCCCCCACCAGAGTTACAACTGATGAAACTACATTGACCCATTATTATCACCCAAAGTCCATAGTTTACAGTAGGGTTCACTCTTGGTGTTGTACATTCTGTGAGTCTGGACAAATGTATGATGACATGTTCCACCATTACAGTATCATGCAGAATAGTTTCACTGCCCTAAAAATCCTCTGTGGTCTATTTATCCTCCCCTCCCCCTAACACCTAGCAACGAATGAGCTTTTCACCATCTCCAGAGTTTTACCTTTTCTAGAATGTCATATAGTTATAATCATACAGTATGTAGCCTTTTTATATTGGCTCCTTTCACTTAGTAATATGCCTTTGAGGTTCTCCCTCATGGCTTGATAGTTCTTTCATGACTTGATAGTTCATTTCTTTTTAGCGCCAAATAATATTCCATTGCCTGAATGTACCACAGTTTATTTATCCATTCACTACTGAAGGATATCTTGGCTGCTTCCAAGTTTTGGCAATTATGAATAAAGTTGCTATAAACATCCATGTGCAGGTTTTCGTGTGACATACATTTTCAACTCCTTTGGGTAAATGCTGGATCTTATGGTAAGAATATATCTAGTTTTGTAAGAAACTGTCAACTGTCTTCTAAAGGGGCTATATCATTTTGCATTCCTATCAGCAATGAATGAGAGTTCCTATTGCTCTACATCCTCCCCAGCATTTGGTGTTGTCAGTGTTTTGGATTTTGGCTATTCTGATAGGTGTGCAGTGGTATCTCACTGTTTTAATTTGCATTTCCCTGATGGCTTATGATGTGGAACATCTTTTCATAAGTGTAATTGCTGCCTGTATCTTCTTTGGTGAGGTGTCTATTAAGGTCTTTGGTCTATTTTTTTCATTGGGTTGTTTCTTATTGTTGGGTTTTAAGAGCTTTTTGTATATTTTGGATAACAGTCCTTTATCAAATGTCTTTTACAAATAGTTTCTCCCAGTCTGTGGCTTCTCTTTTTATTTTCTTGACAGTGTCTTCCAGAGAGCAGAAGTCTTTAATTTTAGAAGTTCAGTTTATCAATTCTTTCTTTCAGAGATTATGCCTTTGGTGTTATATATAAAAAGTCATTGCTAAACCCTAGATAATATAGATTTTACCCTATGTTAACTTCTAGGAGTTATAGTTTTGGGTTTTACCTTTAGGTCTGTGATCGATTTTGAGTTACATTTTTGTGAAGAATATAAGATGTGTGTGCATGTCCAGTTGTTAAAACAGCATTCGTAGAAAAGACTATCTTTTTTTTCTATTGCATTGCTTTTGCTCCTTTGTCAAACATCAGCTGACTATATTTATGTGGGTTTATTTCTGAGTTCTCTATTATCTTCCACTGGTCTATTTGTCTATTCTTTCACTGATACCACATTGTCTTGTTTATTGTAGCGTTATAGTAAGTCTTGAAGTTGGGAGTGTCAGTCCTCCAACTTTGTTCTTCTTTAATATCATGCTGGTTATTCTGGATCTTTTGTTCTCCATGCAAACTTTAGAATTAGTTTATCAATATGCACAAATAAATTTTTGGGATTTTGATTGGGATTGCATTAAATCTATAGATTAAGTTGGGAAGAACTGACCTCTGAAGATTATTGAGTCTTCCTGTCCATAAACATACAATGTCTTTTTGTTTATTTAGTTCTTTGGTTTCTTGCAGCTGAGTTTTATAATTTTCCTCATATAGACCATGTACGAATTTTGTTAGATGAATAACTAAGTATTTCACTTTTCTGGATACTAATGGAAATGGTATTGTGTTTTTAATTTCAAATTTCACTTATTCATTGCTGGTATATAGGAAAGTGATTTATTTTTGTATGTAAACTTTGTATCCTGCAACATTATTATAATCACTTATTAGTTCCAAGAGTTTTAAAAACATTTATTATTGTTTATTTTCTACATAGACAATCAAGTCATCTGTGAACAAAGACAGTATTATTTCTTCTTTCTCAATCTGTGTGTGTGTGTGTATATATATATATATATATATATATATTTATTTATTTATTTATTTATTTATTTATTTATTTATTTATTTATTTTAAGAACTAACCATTTTATTTATTTATTTTTTTGGCCATGCCTCATGGCATGCGGGATCTTCCCTGACCTGGGATAGAACCCATGCCCCCTGCAGTGGAAGTGGAGTCTTAACCACTGGAACACTAGGGATGTCCCCAATCTGTATATCTTTTATTTCAATTTTTGTCTTATTGCATTAGCTAGGACTTTCAGCATGATGTAAAAAACAGTGGTGAGAACAGGATATCTCTGCCTTGTACCTGATCTTAGTGGGAAACTTTTAAGTTTCTCACCATTAAACATGATGTTAGCTGGAGGTTTTTTGTAGATAGTGTTTATCAAATTGAGGAATTTCCCCTCTGTTCCCAGTTTACTGAGAGTATTGATCATGAATGAGTATTTGATTTTGTCAAATGTTTTTTCTGCATCTACTGATATGATCATACAATTTTACTTTTTTAACCTGTTGATGTGATGGATTATATTAGTGTATTTATTTATTTTTTATAAGCAGGTTCTTATTAGTTATCTATTTTATATATATTAGTGCATATATGTCAATCCCAATCTCCCAATTCATCCCACACTCCCCACCCCTGCTTTCCCACCTTTATGTCCATAGGTTCATTCTCTACATCTGTGTCTCTATTTCTGCCTTGCAAACCAGTTCATCTGTACCATTTTTCTAGATTCCACACACATGCATTAATATATGATATTTGTCTTTCTCTATCTGACTTACTTCACTCTGTATGACAGTCTCTAGGTCCATCATGTCTCTACAAATGACCCAATTTCGTTCCTTTTTAAGTCTGAGTAATATTCCATTGTATATATGTATATATACACATCTTCTTTACCGATTTGTCTGTCGACGGGCATTTAGGCTGCTTCCATAACCTATTGTAAATAGTGCTGCAATGAACATTGGGGTGCCTGTGTCTTTCTGAATTGTGGTTTTCTCTGGGTATATGCCCAGTAGTGGAATTGCTGGGTCATATGGTAGTTCTACTTTTACGTTTTTAAGGAACCTCCATACTGTTCTCCATAGTGGCTTTATCAATTTACATTCCCACCAACAGTGCAAGAGGCTTCCCTTTTCTCCACACCCTCTCCAGCATTTGTTGTTTGTAGATTTTCTGATGATGCCCATTCTAACTGGTGTGAGGTGATAGCTCATTGTAGTTTTGATTTGCATTTCTCTAATAAATAGTGATGTTGAGCAGCTTTACTTGTGCCTCTTGGTCATCTGTATGTCTTCTTTGGAGAAATGTCTATTGAGGTCTTCTGCCTATTTATTGACTGGGTTGTTTGTAATACTGAGCTTCATGAGCTGTTTATATATTTTGGAGATTAATCCTTTGCCAGTTGATTCATTTTCAAATATTTACTCCCATTCTGAGGGTTATCTTTTCATCTTGTTTATAGTTGCCTCTGCTGTGCAAAAGATTTAAGTTTCATTAGGTCCCATTTGTTTATTTTTGTTTTTATTTCCATTACTTTAGGAGGTGAGCCAAAAAAGATCTTGCTGTGATTTATATCAAAGAGTGCTCTTCCTACATTTTCCTCTAAGAATTCTATAGTGTCCAGTGTTACATTTAGATCTTTAAATCATTTTGAGTTTATTTTTGTGTATGGTGTTAGGGAGTGTTCTAATGTCATTCTTTTACATGTAGCTGTCCAGTTTTCCCAGAACCACTTATTGAAGAGATTGTCTTTTCTCCATTGTATATCCTTGCCTCCTTTGTCATAGATTAGTTGACCATAGGTGTGTGCGTTTATCTCTGGGCTTTCTATCCTGTTCCATTGATCTATATTTCTGTTTTTGTGCCAGGACCGTATTGTCTTGATTACTGTAGCTTTGTAATATAGTCTGAAGTCAGGGAGTCTGATTCGTCCAGCTCCGTTTTTTCCCCTCAAGTTTGCTTTGGCTATTTGGGATCTTTTGTGTCTCCATACAAATTTTAAGATTTTTCGTTCTAGTTCTGTAAAAAATGCTGTTGGTAATTTGATACAGATTGCCTTGAATCTGTAGATTGCTTTGGGTAGTATAGTCATTTTCACAATATTGATTCTTACAATCCACATTCATGGTATATCTCTACATTTGTTTGTGTCATGTTTGATTACTTTCATCAGTGTCTTATAGTTTTCTGAGTTCAGGTCTTTTACCTCCTTAGGTTGGTTTATTCCTAGGTATTTTATTCTTTTTGTTGCAGTGGTAAATGGGAGTGTTTCCTTAATTTCTCTTCCAGATTTTTCATTATTAGTGTATAGGAATGCAAGAGATTTCTGTGCATTAATTTTGTATCCTGCAACTTTACCAAATTCATTGATTAGGCTAGTCGTTTTCTGGTGGCATCTTTAGGATTCTCTATGTATAGTATCATGTCATCTGCAAACACTGACAGTTTTACTTCTTTTCCAATTTGTATCCTTTTTATTTCTTTTTCTTCTCTGATTGCCATGGCTAGGACTTCAAAAACTATGTTTAATAATAGTGGTGAGACTGGACATCCTCATCTTGTTCCTTATCTTAGAGGAAATGCTTTCAGTTTTTCACCATTGAGAATGATGTTTGCTGTGGGTTTGTCATATATGACCTTTATTATGTTGAGGTAGGTCCCCTCTATGCCTACTTTCTGGAGAGTTTTTTTTTTTTATCATAAATGGGTGTTGAATTTTGTCAAAAGCTTTTTCTGCATCTACTGAGATGATAATATGGTTTTTATTCTTCAATTTGTTAAAATTGATTGATTTGCATATATTGAAGAATCCTTGCATCCCTTAGATAAATCCCACTTGATTATGGTGTATGATCCTTTTAATGTGCTGTTGGATTCTGTTTGCTAGTATTTTGTTGAGTTTTGAATCTATATTCATCAGTGATATTGGTCTGTAATTTTTTTCTTTTTGTAGTATCTTTGTCTGGTTTTGGTATCAGGGTGATTGTGGCCTTGTAGAATGAGTTTGGGAGTATTCTTTTCTCTGTAATTTTTTGGAAGAGTTTGAGAAGGATGGGTGTTAGCTCTAGATGTTTGATAGAATTCACCTGTGAAGCCATCTGGTCCTGGACTTCTGTTTGTTGGAAGATTTTTAATCACAGTTTCAATTTCAGTGCTTGTGATTGGTCTGTTCATATTTTGTATTTCTTCCTGGTTCAGTCCCGGAAGGTTAAACCCTACTAAGAATTTGCCCATTTCTTCCAAGTTGTCCATTTTATTGGCATAGAGCTGTTTGTAATAGTCTCTTATGATGCTTTGTATTTCTGCAGTGTCCATTGCAACTTCTCCTTTTTCATTTCTAACTTTATTGATTTGGGTCCTCTCCCTCTTTTTCTTGATGAGTCTGGCTAAAGTTTTATCAATTTTCTTTATCTTTTCAAAGAACCAGCTTTTAATTTTATTGATCTTTGCTATTGTTTTCTTTGTTTCTATTTCATTTATTTCTGCTCTGATCTTTATGATTTCTTTCCTTCTACTAACTTTGGGTTTTGTTTATTCTTTTTTCTCTAGTTCCTTTAGGTGTAAGGTTAGATTGTTTATTTGAGATTTTTCCTGTTTCTTGAGGTAGAGTTGTATAGCTATAAACTTCCCTCTTAGAACTGCTTTTGCTGCATCCCATAGGTTTTGGATCATTGTGATTTCATTGTCATTTGTTTCTAGGTATTTTTTGATTTCCTCTTTGATTTCTTCAGTGATCTCTTGGTTATTTAGTAATATACTGCTTAACCTCCATATGTTTTTGTTTTTTACACTCTTTTTCCCCTGGAATTTATTTCTAATCTCATAGTGCTGTGGTCGGGAAAGATCCTTGATAAGATTTCAATGTTCTTAAATTTACCAAGGCTTGATTTGTGACCCAAGATGTGATCTATCCTGGAGAATGTTCTCCGTGTACTTGAGAAGATAGTGTAATCTGCTGTTTTCAGATGGAATGTCCTATAAATATCAATTAAATATATCTGGTCTATTGTGCATCAAAGCTTGTGTGGCCTTATAAATTTTCTGTCTGGATGATCTGTTCATTGGTGTAAATGAGGTGTTAAAGTCCCCCACTATTATTGCATTACTGTTGATTTCCTCTTTTATAGCTGTTAGCAGTTGCCTTATGTATTGAGGTGCTCCTATGTTGGGTGCATATATATTTATAATTGTTATACCTTCTCCTTGGATTGATCCCTTGATCATTATGTAGTGTACTTCCTTGTCTCTTGTAACATTCTTTATTTTAAAGTCTATTTTATCTGATATGAGGATTGCTATTCCAGCTTTCTTTTGATTTCCATTTGCATGGAATATCTTTTTCCATCCCCTCACTTTCAGTCTGTATGTGTCCCTAGGTCTGAAGTGGGCCTCTTGTAGACAGCATATATGTGGGTCTTGCTTTTGTATCCATTCAGCAAGCCTGTGTCTTTTTGTTGGAGCATTTAATCCATTCACATTTAAGGTAATTATTGATATATATGTTCCTCTTACCATTTTCTTAATTGTTTTGGGTTTGTTTTTGTAGGTCCTTTTCTTCTCTTGTGTTTCCCACTCAGAGAAGTTCCTTTAGCATTTGCTGTAGAGCTGGTTTGGTGGTGCTGAATTCTCTTAGCTTTCGCTTGTCTGTAAAGTTTTTGATTTCTCCATCAAATCTGAATGAGATCTTTGCTGGGTAGAGTAATCTTGGTTGTAGGTTCTTCCCTTTCCTCACTTGAACTATATCACGCCATTCCCTCCTGGCTTGTAGAGTTTCTGCTGAGAAATCAGATGTTAACCTTATGGAAGTTCCCTTGAATGTTGTCATTTCTCCTTGTTGCTTTTAATAATTTTTCTTTATCTTTAATTTTTGTCAGTTTGATTACTATGTGTCTTGTCATGTTTCTCCTTGGCTTTATCCTGCCTGGGACTCTCTGTGGTTCCTGAACTTGGGTGAATATTTCCTTTCCCATGTTAGGGAAGTTTTCCACTATAATCTCTTCAAATATTTTCTTGGATACTTTCTCTCTCTCTTCTCCTTCTGGGACCCCTATAATGTGAATGTTAGTGTGTTTAACGTTGTCCCAGAGGTCTCTTAGGCTCTCTTATTTTCATTCTTTGTTCTTTTTTTTTTTTTTTTTTTGCGGTACGTGGGCACTGTCGTGGCCTCTCCCGTTGTGGAGCACAGGCTCTGGACGCACAGGCTCAGAGGCCATGGCTCAGGGGCCCAGCTGCTCCGCGGCATGTGGGATCTTCCCAGACCGGGACATGAACCCGTGTCCCCTGCATCAGCAGGCAGACTCTCAACCACTGCACCACCAGAGAAGCCCATTCTTTATTCTTTATTTTGTTCCATGGCAGTGAATTCCACTATTCTGTATTCCAGGTCACTTATCCGTTCTTCTGCCTCAGTTATTCCGCTATTGATTCCTTCTAGTGTATTTTTCATTTCAGTTATTGTACTGTTCATCTCTGTTTGTTCTTTAATTCTTCTAGGTGTTTTTATTTAATTCTTCTAGGTCTTTGTTAAATATTTCTTTCATCTTTTCGATATTTGTCTCCATTCTTTTTCCAAGGTCCTGTATCATCTTCACTATTATTATTCTGTATTCTTTTTCTGGAAGGTTGCCCATCTCCACTTCATTTCGTTGTTTTTCTGGGGTTTTATCTTGTTCCTTCATCTGGTACATAGTCCTCTGCCTTTTCATTTTGTCTATCTTTCTGTGAAAGTGGTTTTCGTTCCATAGGCTGCAAGACTGTAGTTGTTCTTGCTTCTGCTGTCTGCCCTCTGGTGGCTGAGACTATGTAAGAGGCTTGTGCAAGCTTCCTGTTGGGAGGGACTGGTGGTGGTCAGAGCTGTGTGTTGCTCTGGTGGGCAGAGTTCAGTAAAACTTTAATCCACTTGTCTGCTGATGGGTGGGGCTGAGTTCCCTCCCTGTTGGTTGTCTGGCCTGAGGCAACCCAGCACTGGAGCCTATGGGCTCTTTGGTGGGGCTTATGACAGACTCTGGGAGGGCTCACACCAAGGAGTACTTCCAAAAACTTCTGCTGCCAGTGTCCTTGTCCCTGCGGTGAGCCACGGCCACCCTCCACCTCTCTGCAGGAGACCCTGTAACACTAGCAGGTAGGTCTGGTTCAGTCTCCTATGAGGTCACTGCTCCTTCCCCCTGGGTCCTCATGCACATACTACTTTGTGTGTGCCCTCCAAAATTGGTCTCTGTTTCCCCCAGTCCTGTTGAAGTCCTGCAATCAAATCCCATTAGCCTTCAAAGTCTGATTCTCTGGGAATTGCTCCTCCTGTTTCCAGACCCCCAGGTTGGGAAGCATGATGTGGGGCTCAGAACCTTCACTCCAGTGGGTGGACTTCTGTGGTATAATTGTTCTCCAGTTTGTGAGTCATGCACCCAGCAGTTATGGGATTTGATTTTATTGTGATTGCGCCCCTCCTACCATCTCATTTTGGCTTCTCCTTTGTCTTTGGATGTGGGGTATCTCTTTTGGTGAGTTCCAGTGTCTTTCTGTTGATGATTGTTCAGCAGTTAGTTGTGATTCTGGTACTCTCGCCAGAGGGATTGAGCACATGTCCTTCTACTCCACCATCTTGAACCAATCTCCTATTAGTTGATTTTTGAATGCTGAACTAGCCTTGCATAGCTGGGATAAATACCACTTGGTTGTGGTATATTATTCTTCTTTTACATTGTTGGACTCAATTTGCTAATATTTTGCTGAGGACTTTTTTGGGAAAAACTTTTCAGCTTTATTGAGGTATACTTATTACAGAAAATATTGCACATTTTAATTTACATATTTTGATGAGTTTGGACATATGCGCACACCTGTTATATCATGACAACAATCAAGGTAATAGACATATACATCACTTTCAAAAGACTTATTGTGTCCCCTTGCTTTTTTTTGTGGTAAGGACAGTTGGCATAAAATCTACCCTCCAAAGAAGTTTTTAAGTGTACAAAACTGTTGTTAACCACAGGCATTATGTTGTAACAGTAGGTCTCTAGAACTTACTCATCTTGTGTCAGTGTAACTTTATATCCAATGAGCACCTCTCAATTTCTCCCGCCACCCATTCCCTGGAAACCATTATTCTAGTCTCTGCTTCTACAAGTTTGACTATTTTAGATACCTCATACAAATGGAACTGTCTGGTGTTTGTCCTTCTGTGACTGACTTATTTCACTTAGGATATTGTCTTTCAAGTCTATCCATACTGTTGAAAACAGTAGGAATTCCTCCTTTTTAAAGGCTGAATAATATTCCATTGTATACATACATGTCACAGTTTCTTTATCCATTTGTCCGTCAATAGATATTTGGGTTGTTTCCATATTATCTATTGTGATCAATGCTGCAATAAACATGCGAGTGCATATATCTCTTCAAAATTCTGATTCAGTTATTTTGGATATATATCCAGGAGTGAGATTACTGGATTATATGGTAGTTCTATTTTTAATTTTTTGAGACATCTCCATACTGTTTTCCATAGTGGCTGTGCCATTTTGCATTCCCACCAACAGTGTACATGAGTTCCAATTTCTCACACCCTTGCTAACACTTGCCATTTTTTGTTTTTTTGATAATAGCCATCCTAACAGATGTGAGATGATATTACATTGTGGTTTTGATTTGCATTTCTATGATGATTAGTGATGTTGAGTGCCTTTTCATATACCTGTTGTCCATTTGTACGTCTTCTTTGAAGAAACCTCTATACAAGTTCCCAGCCATTTTTTACTCAGGTTATTTTTTAATTAAAAAATTTTTCTGCTATTGAGTTGTAGGAGTTCTTTGTATATTTTGGAAATTAATTATCTGTCATATACATGGCTTGCAAATATTCCCTTCCATTCTGTAAGTCACTTTTTCACTCTGTTGATTGTTTTGTTTTCTGGGCAGACGTTTGATAAAAGTTTGATAAAAGGAAACACTTCTGAACTCATTTTATGAGGCCAGTATTACCCTGATACCAAAGACAGACAAGGAAAGAAAATTGTAGGTCAATATACCTGGTGAACACAGATGCAAAAATCCTCAACAAAATTCTAGCAAACCAAATTCAACAGCACATTAAAAGGATCACACTTCATGATCAAATAGGATATATTCCTGGGATGCAAGGATGGTTCAACCTATGCGGATAAATAAATGTGATACACCACATTAACAGAATGAAGGATAGAAATCATATGATCATTTCTATAGATAAAGTATTTAAGAAAATTCAACACAATTTTATGATAAAAACGATCAACAAGTTACATATAGAAGGAATGTACCTCAGCATGATAATTGCCATATATTACAAGCCCACAGCTAATATTAAACTCAGTGGTAAAAAATGAATCTTTTCCTCGAAGATCAAGAAGAAAACAAAGATGCCCACTCTTGCCACTTCTATTCAACTTAGTACTGGAAGTCCTAGCCAGAGCAATTAGCCAATAAAGAGAAATAAAAGAAATCCAAGTCAGAAAGGAAGAAGTAAAATTTTCTTTGCTTGCAGATGACATGATGTAGAAAATCCTAAAGATGCCACAAAAAATCTTTTAGAAATAATACATGAATTCTGTAAAGTTGCAGGATACAAAATCAACCTACAAAAATCAATTGCATTCTTACATGCTAACAACAAATGATCAGAAAAGGAAATTTAAAAAATATCATTTTCAATAGCATCAAAAAGAATAAAATACTTCAGAATAAACTTAACAAGGAGATGAAATATTTTTACACTGAAAACTACATTTATGAAAGAAAATGAAGAAGACAAATAAATGAAAGCCACCTCGTGTTCATGGAGTAGAAGACTTAATATTGTTAAAGTGCCATGTTACTCAAAGTTATCTACAGATTCATTCCAATGCCTATCAACATTCCAATGGCATTTTTTATAGAAATAGGAAAAAAGTCCTAAAATTCTTGTGGAACCACAGACATAGAATAGCCAAAGCAATCTTGAGAAAAAAGGAACAATGTTGGAGGCATTATACTTCCTGATTTCAGAAAGTTACCATAATTAAAACTGTATGGTACTGGCGCAAAGACAGATATATAAACCAATGGAACAGAATACAGAGCCCAGAATTAAACCATGCATATACAACTGCAAATGATCTTTTTTTTTTTTTCCTTGCGGTACGCGGGCCTCTCACTGTTGTGGCCTCTCCCATTGTGGAGCACAGGCTCCGGACGCACAGGCTCAGCGGCCATGGCTCACGGGCCCAGCCGCTCCGCGGCATGTGGGATCTTCCCGGGCCGGTGCACGAACCCGTGTCCCCTGCATCGGCAGGCGGACTCTCAACCACTGCGCCACCAGGGAAGCCCCTGCAAATGATCTTTGACAAGGGTGCAAGAATACACAATGGGGAAAAAATAGTCTCTTCATAAATGGTATTGAGAAAACTGGATATCTACAAGCAGAAAAAGAAACTGGACCCTTATCTTATACCATACACCAAAATCAACTCAAAATGGATTAGAAACTTAAACTTAAGACTGAAAACTATAAAACTCTTAGAAAAAAACAGAGGAAAACTTTCATGCCATTGGTCTCGGTAATAATTTCATGTACATGAAACCAAAAGCACAGACAACAAAAGCAAAAATAGACAAATGTTGAGGATGTTTGCATATATGTTCATGAGAGATATTGGTCTGTAGTTTTTTCTTTTAATGTCTTCATTTGGTTTTGGTATTAGGGTAATATTGGCCTCATAGAATGAGTTAGGAAGTATTCCCTCAGCTTCTATCTTCTGAAATAGATTATGGAGAACCAGTTAACCCACCTGGGCCTCCTTCCTATTGTGGAAGGTTACTGATTATTGATTCAATTTTTTCAATGGATATAAGCCAATTCAGATTGTCTCTTTCTTTTGTGAGTTTTGGCAGATTGTGTCTTTCAAGAAGTCAGTCCATTTCATCTAGATTATCAAATTTGTGGGCATAGAGTTGTTCAAGGTGTTCCTATATTATTCTTTTAATGTCTATGAGGACTGTAGTAAAGTTCCTTCTTTCATTTCTGATATTAATAATTTGTGTCCTTTCTCTTTTTTTCTTAGTGAGCTGGGCTAGAGTCTTACTGGTTTTACTGATCTCTTCAAAGAACCAGCTTTTGGTTTTATTGATTTTCTCTACTGATTTCCTCTTTTAAATTTCATTGATTTCTGCTCTAGTTTTTACTGTTTCTTTTTTTTCTGCTTACTTTGGATTTTATTTGTTTTTCTTTTCCTAATTTCCTAAGGTAGAAGCTAAAATGATTGATTTTAGATCTCCCTCTTTTTCTAATACACACATTCAGTGCTATTCATTTTTTTTTCTGAGCTCTACTTTCACTGTCCCACAGAATTTGATACTATGTTTCCATTTTCATTTAGTTCAAAGTATTTTAAAATTTCTCTTGAGATTTCTCTGGCCCATGTGTTACTTAGAAGTATGCTGTTTAATCTCCAAGTATCTTGGGATTTTCCAGCTGTCTTTCTGTTATTGATTTCTAGTTTAATTCCACTGTGGTCTGAGAACAGATATTCTGTGATTTCTATTCTTTTAAATTTGTTAAGGTGTGCTTTATGGCCTAGAATGCATCTATCTTGGTGAAAGTTCCATGTGAGCTACAGAAGAATGTGTATTCTGATGTTTTTGGATGAAGTAGTTTATAGATGTCTAGTATATACAATCGAATGATGGTGTTATTAAATTCAACTATGTCCTTACTCATTTTCTGCCTGCTGGATCTGTCCATTTCTGACCGAGGGGTATTGAAGTCTCCAACTATAATAGTGGATTCATCTATTTCTTCTTGCAGTTCTATCAATTTTTGCCTCATGTAGTTTGATGTTCTATTGTTATGTGCATACACATTAAAGACTGTTATGTCTTCTTGGAGAAATGACTCCTTTATCATTTGATGCCCTTCTTTATTCATGAGAACTTTCCTTACTGCGAAATCTGCTCTGTCTGAAATTAATATAGCCATTCCTACTTTTGATTAGTGTTAGCATGGTGTATGTTTCGTCATCATTTTACTTTTAATTTATGTGTCTTTATACTTAGAGTGGGTTTTGTAGACAACGTATAGTTGAGTCTTGTCTTTTGATGCCCTCTGACAATCTCTGTCTTTTAATTTGTACATTTAGACTATTGACATTTAAAGTGGTTACTGATACTGTTAGATTAGTATCTACCATGTTTGTTACTTTTTTCTATTTCTTGCCCTTGTTGTTTTTTCCTATGTTTGTCGTCCACTCTTTTCAGCCTTTTGTAGTTTTAATTGATCATTTTATATGATTCTATTTCTCACCTTTCTTAATATATCAATGGTACTTCTCTTTCCACTCTTTTTAGTGGTTGCCCTAGAGTCTGTAATATAAAACTAATCCAAACCCACTTTCAAATAACACTATTTTATTTCATTGGTAGTGTGAATAATTTATAACAAAATAATCCTAATTCCTCCTTCCCATCCCTTGTATCATTGCTGTCATTCTTTTCCCTTATGCATAAGCCTATATACAGTTGGCCCTCTATATCTATGGGTTCTGCATCTGCAGATACAGATGGCTGATTGTACTACACCATTTCAAAAGACTTGAGCATCTGTGGATTTTGGTGTCCATGGGGGTTTCTGGAACCATTCCCCTATGGATACTGAGGAACAACTGTATACAGACACATACACGTGCACACAAACACACATATATACCTTTATATATATATATAAAACATACCTTAATTTAAAATGCTTTATCACTAAAAAATGCTAATCATGATAAGCTTTCAGCAAATAAGTTATCTTTTTGCTGATGGAGGGTCTTGCCTACAATTTGATGTCTGCTAACTGATTATGGTGGTAGTTGCTAAAGGCTGGAGTGACTGTAGCAATTTATTAAAATAGACAACAATGAAGTTTGCTGCATAGATTGACTCCTCCTCTCACAGATGACTTCTCTGTAGTAGGTAAGGCTGTTTGATAGCATTTTACCCACAGCAGAGCTTCCTTCAAAATTAGAGTCAATCCTCTTAAACCCTGCCACTGCTTTATCAACTAAGTTTATGTAATATTCGAAATCCTTTGCTGTCATTTAAACAATTGTCACCGCATCTTCACCAGGAGTAAATTCCATCACAAGAAACCACTTACTTTGCCCATCCATAAGTAGCAACTCCTCATTCGACAAAGTTTTATCATGAGATTGCAGTAATTCAGTCACATCTTCAGGCTCCACTTCTAATTCTGTTTCTCTCACTACATCCACCGCACCTGTAGTTACTTCCCCCACGGAAGTCCTGAAGCCCTTAAAGTCATCCATGAGGATGAGGGTTGGAATCAACTTCTTCCAAACTTCTGTTAATGTTGATGTTTTGACCTCTTCCTATGAATCACTAATGTTCTTAATGACATCTAGAATGGTGAATCCTTTCCAGAAGGCTTTCGATGTACTTTGCCTAGATCTATCAGAGGAATAACAATCTATGGGAGCTACAGACTTACGACATGTATTTCTTAAAGAATAAGACTTGAAAGTTAAAATTACTCCTTGATCCATGGGCTGCAGCATGGATGTTGTGTTAGTGGGCATGAAAATAACATGAATCTCATTAGATATCTCCGTCAGAGCTCTTTGGTTACCAGGTGTATTGTTAATGCAGTAATATTTTGAAAGTAGTCTTTACTTTTATTTTATTTTTAAAATAAATTTTATTTATTTATGTATTTATTTATTTTGAGCTGTGTTGGGTCTTTGTTGCTGTGTGCAGGCTTTCTCTAGCTGTGGCGAGCAGGCGCTACTCTTTGTTGTGGTGTGTGGGCTTCTCATTGTGGTGGCTTCTCTTTGTTGCTGAGCACGGGCCCTAGGTGCATGGGCTTCAACAGTTGTGGCACACAGGCTCAGTAGTTGTGGCGCATGGACTTAGTTGCTCTGCGCCATGTGGGATCTTCCTGGACCACGGCTGGAACCCATGTCCCCTGCACTGGCAGGCGGATTCTTAACCACTGCACCACTAGGTAAGTCCCTGAAAGGAATCTTAAAAAAAAAATTGTTTTTGAGCAGTAGGTCTCAACCATGGGCTTAAAATATTCAGTAAACCATGTTATAAACAGATGTGCTGTCATCCAGGCTTTGTTGTCCCATTTATAGAGCAGAGGCAGAGTAGATTTAACATGATTCTTAAGGTCCTAAGATTTTCAGAATGGGAAATGAGTATTGGCTTCAACTTCAAGTCACCAGCCGCATTAACCCCTAAGAAGAGAATCAGCCTGTCTTCTGAAGCTTTGAAGCCAAGCATTGACTTCTCTCTCGTGATGAAAGTCCTAGATGGTATCTTTTCCCATTATAAGGCTGTTTCATCTACATTGAAAATCTGTTGTTTAGTGTAGCCACCTTCATTAACTATCTTAGCTAGATCTTCTGGATAACTTGCTGTTGCTTCTATATCAACACTTGTGGCTTCGCTTTGCTATGGAGATGGCTTCATCTCTTACACATCATGAACGAACACCTGCTAGCTTCAAACTTTGCTCCAGTAGCTTCTTCACTTCTCTCAGCCTTCTAGAATTGAAGAGAATTATGGCCTTGCTTTGGATTAGGCTCTGGCTTGAGGGAATATTGTGGCTGGTTTGATCTTCTATTCAGATCAGTAGAATTTTCTCCATATCCACAATAAGTCAGTTTTGCTTTCTTATCATTCTTGTGTTCACTGGAGTAGCACTTTTCATTTCCTTCATGAACTTTTCCTTTGCATTTACAACCTGGCTAATTGTTTGGTGCAAGAGGCCCACCTTTAGGCCTATTTCAGCTTTCGACATACCTCCCTCAATGAGCTTAATCATTTCTAGCTTTTTATTTAAAGTGAGAGAAATGGGACTCTACATTTGAACACACAGAGGCCATTGTAGGTTTATTAATTGGCCTAATTTCATTGTTGTGTCTCATGGAATAGGGAAAGGAGAGTTAAAGAGATAGGAGAATGATTGGTAAAGCAATCAAAACACACAACATTTACCAATTAAGTTCATTATCTTATGTGGGCATGGTTCATAGTGCCGCCAAATAATTACAATAGTAACATCAAATATCTCTGATCGTAGATCACCAGTAAGTTTTTATTTACCATCACCAATTCCTCCTCCAATGCTCTTCCTTTCTTTATGTACATCTGAGTTTCTGACCTATGTAATTTTCCTTCTCTCTAAAGAACTTCTTTTAACATTTCTCGCAAGGCACATCTACTGACAATAAATTCCCTCAGTTTTTGTTTGTCTGAGAAAGTCTTTATTTCTCCTTCACTTTTGAAGGATAATTTCACAGGACATATAAGTCTAGGTTGGTGTTTCTTTCTCACAACACTTTAAATAATTAACTCTACTCTCTTCCTGTTTGCAATGTTTCTGAAGAGAAATTGGATGTAATTCTTATCTTTGTTCTTCTACAGGTAAAGTGTTTTTTTTCTCTGGATCCTTCCCGGATTTTTTTTTTTAATCTCTGACTTTCTGTCATTTGAAAATAATATACCTAGGTGTAGTTTTCCTGGAATTTATCCTATTTGGTGTTTTCTGAGCTTCCTAGATCTGTGGTTTGGTGTTTGACATTAATTTAGGGGATTCTAAGTCATTACTGTTTCATATGCTTCTTCCATTCCTTTCTCTCCTCTCCTTCTGGTATTCTCATTACACATATGTTACACTTTCTGTAGTTGTCCCACAGTTCTTGGATATTCTGTTCTATTTTTTTCTGTCTTTTTTCCTTTTCGGTTTTAGAGGTTTCTACTGAGATATCTGCAAGCTCAGAGATTCTTCAGCCATAACCAGTTTACTAGTGAGTCCATCAGACATTCTTCATTTCTGCTGCAGTCTTTTAAAATCTCCAGCATTTTCTTTTAGTTCTTTCTTAGAATTTCCATCCATCTGCTTACATTTCCCCTCTGCTCTTTCATATTTTCTATTTTATTCATTAGAGGGCTTAGGATCCCTTAGGATATCAATCAAGGCTTTTAAAATTCCTGGTTTGATAATTCCAACATTCCTGCCTATATCTGAATCTAGTTTTAATGCTTGCTCTGCCTCTTCAACCTGTTTTTTCTTTGTTGTTATTTGTTTGTTTTGCCTTTTAGTACATCTTGTGATTTTTTTTCTTGATAGCCAGACATGATGTACTGGGTAAAAGGAACTGCTATAAATAGGCCTTTAGTAATGTGGTGGTATGGTGTGTGTAGGGAGAGGGAAGCATTCTGTAGTCCTATGATTAGTGTAGTGAGCTAATGCTTCTGGACTGTGAACTTCACACATTTCTCAGTCCCCACCTCTCCCCTACTTCCCCTTAGATGGGACAGAATAGCTCTAATGGGCTGGAGTTGGATATTTCCCTTTTCCCACATGGAAGGCTAGAGTCAGCTGGAGTTGGTTATTTTCCTTCCCCTAGGTTGGTTAGGCTCTGATAAAACCCAGAAGGTTAAAGAGTTTCTCCTGAGAGAAGATCTTGCTAAGAAGAGCAGATCCATTTGCATGGAATATGTTTTTCCATCCCTTTACCTTCAGTATATGTATGTCCTTACTTCTGAAGTGAGTCTCTTGTAGGTGGCATACAGATGGGTCTTGTTTTTATTTATCCATTCAACCATTCTATGTCTTTTGATTGGTGAATTTAGTCCATTTAAAGTAATTATTGGTAGGTATGTACTTACTGCCATTTTATTAATTGCTTTTTGGCTGTTTTTGTGCTTCTTCTCTGTTCCTGTCTTCTTCTCTTTCTTCCCTTGTGTTTTGGTGGTTTTCTTTAGTGTTATGTTTAGACTCCTTTCTCATTGTCTTTTTATTTTATGTATCCCATAACTAATTATTGTAATTTTAGTTAATTTTACTACTTTTGCCTTTTTTTTTTTTTTTTTTTTTGCGGTACGTGGGCCTCTCACTGTCGCGGCCTCTCCCGTTGCGGAGCACAGGCTCCGGACGTGCAGGCTCAGGGGCCATGGCTCACAGGCCCAGCCGCTCCGCAGCATGTGGGATCTTCCCAGACCGGGGCACGAACCCGTGTCCCCTGCATTGGCAGGTGGACTCTCAACCACTGCGCCACCAGGGAAGCCCTACTTTTGCCTTTTAACATTTATTCTTGCTTTACACTACCTTTATTAAGTATTTACCTTTTCCAGTGAGATATTTACTTTCAGATGTTTCTTATTATTAGTTAGTGCCATTTCTTTTCTGCTTAAAGGAATCCCTTTAACATTTCTTGTAGGGCTGGCTTAGTGGTGGTGAACTCCTTTAACTCTGCTTATCTGGGAAACTCTTAATTTTACCTTCAATTCTGAGTGATAATCTTTCTGGGTAGAGAATTCTTGGCTGGAAGTTTATTCCTTTCAGCACTTTGAATATATCATGCCATTCCCTTCTGTACTGTAAAGTTTCTACTGAAAAATCTGCTGATAGCCTTACAGGGTTTCCCTTGTATGTAACGCTTTTTTTTTTTTTTTTCTCTTGCCACTTTTAGGATTCTCTTTTTATCCTTAAATTTTATCATTTTAATTAACATGCCTTGGTGCGTGTCTCTTTGTATTCATCTTATTTGGAACTCTCTGGGCTTTCTGGACTTGTACGTCTGTTTCCTTCCACAGATTAGGGAAGTTTTCAGCCACTATTCCTTTAGATAGTTTTTCTGGCCCTTTCTCTCTCTCCTCCTTCTGGGACTCCTATAATGCAAATTTTATTCTGCTTGATGTCGTCTCAAAGGTTCCTAATGTATATTCACTTTTTAAAATTCTTTTTCTACTTTGCTGCTCTGTCTGGGTGAATTCCATTTCTTTGTCTTCCAGCTTGCCAACTTGTTCTTCTACCTCATTCAATCTGCTGTTGAATCCCTCTGGTGTATTTTTCAGTTCAGTTTTAACTTATGTTTGATGCTTTCTTATATTTTCTCTCTTTGTTGAAGGTCTCACTGTGTTTGTCCATCCTTCTCCTGAGTTTGGTGAGCATCTTTATGACCATTACTTTTAACTCTTTATCAGATGGACTGCTTATCTCTGTCCTGTTTAGTTCTTTTTCTGAGGTTTCGTCTTGTTCTTTAGATTGGAACACATTCCTTTGTCTCCTCATTTTGCCTAATTCTCTGTGTTTGTTTCCATGTATTAAGTAAATCAGCTCCCTTTCCCAGTCTTGAAGGCGTGGCTTTAGGTAGGAAATGTCTTTTGGTGCTCAGAAGAGCAATCCCACCTGGCCACCAGAGCCAGGTGCTCAAGGGGTGTTTCCAAGGTAACACCCCTAAGGGGTGTTAGAAGGCTACATGAGCCCTCCTGCTGTGGCGGAGCCCTGGCTGCTGCTGTGGCACACTAGTGAGTGGGGGTTGCCTCTGGAATGGCTGCAGGACCTGGCCATGGCAACTACCAGGTGCTGGTGGATGGAGCTGGCCCCCAGAACAACTATGGCATTCAGCCACAGTGGCTGCTTGGTACTGGTGACCAGGGCTGGCCCCCAGAATAGCTGTAGGGCTCAGATGTGGTGGCTGCCAGGCACTGGTGGGCAGGGTTGTCACCTGGCCAACTTTGAGGCCTGACTGTGGCACAGGAATGGATGGGGCTCTCTGTAAATCATGCCCACTGGTGCTAACAGGTTAGATGGAGATTTCCAAAATGGTGCCCACCAATGCCAGTATTAGCAAGGTAGCCTGAGATCACAAAAAATGGCTCCCACCAGTGTCTCAGTCCCCAAGGAGCATCCCCAATTTTTCCTGCCTCTCTGGCAGAAGCTTCAAGATTAGTAAGTGGGTCTCCCTCACCTATGGTCCATGCACTTTTCAATGTCCTATTTTTGCCCTGGTTTTCAGGTCAAGTGAGTCTGTGCCCTTTAAGAGCAGGTCTTCTGTTCCCTGAAGTTCTGTAGTTTTCTTGGACGTATTCCTGTTGGTTTCCAAAGCCAGGTGTTTTGGGGGCTCACTTCTCCTGTACAGGATCTAAGGGTTGGGGGTGCCTGATGTGGACTCAAATCTCTTGCTCCTCAGGGAAAGTAACCATGACTTTGTGATCCTTCTTGATTGTGGATTGCCACAACTGGGGCGTGGTTTTTTTGCTTGGTGCGGCTGTATGTCTGTTTCTCCTACCTGTCTTGATGTTGCTCTTTTACCCTTTGTTGTGGAGACTCTGTTCAGCCAGTTTTTAGGTCCCTTTCAGAGGGAATTATTCCATATGTAGTTACAAATTTATTGTGTCTGTGGGAGGAAGTGTGTTCAGGATCTTCGTATACCACCATCTTGAGTCCTCTCCTAACATATTCATCCTTAAAGAAAATATCTTTTTTACTTGAGTTCCCTTTAATTGCAGGTATCCAGTAACTAAGGCAACTGGTATACAGTAAGTGTTCGATAAATTTCCTTCTTTACTTTGCTTGCATGAATGAAGTATTCAATACATCCTAACAAACCTTATATTTCATGTCAGATACCCAGACTCTTGACTAATTCCATAGGGTTAATAACTGATCAAAAACCCACAATAATAAATGAGCTGGACTTTCAGTTCCTACTGTGAAGGGGCTGTGGTCTGAAGCTTCTTTTCTATTTCTTTTTCCACAGAGGAACTGTGGGCCCATAGTAGGGCTAAATACTTGGTGAGAACTGTGTGTTGTCATGTTGTGGTTTGTAAATTGTGGCAGAACAAGCTTATCTCTGGATAAGAGGTCAACCTAAAGAGTGATTCCAACTCTAGCTTGCAGTTGAACTGCCTTGCAGTAGACCCATTGCCCTGATGGTTACCAGGGTAACCATTCAGAGGTATTGATTACTCATTTATCTCTGTGTTTGGATATAGGACAATTGCTATGACCTCAGATGATCACAGAACAATTTTATAATGGTTCTATTGCTGAAAGTGAAGATAATGCTTCTTCTCCTGCACTTCTCAGTGCCACAATTCCTTCCCTTAAACTAATTTTGCAATGAGCTAAGAACTGAATCCTGGAAAGGGCCATAGTTTTGGGTGCAGAAGACTCAAGTCAAAGTCCTGACTCCTTTTTATGAGGTGTGTCACCTTGGGCAAGTCACTTAACCTCTCCTGGCTCCTCCTTGTCTACAAAATGGGTGGCTGGTGGAGATGGAAATAACATATAAAGGTGTTCGGGGGAGGAAGTTATACAATGAATACAGATGCATGGAATAGACTCTTAAATGCTAATATCTGTTAAAATTGTTTCTTCTTGACCAGTCATTTAAACACACACACACACACACACACACACACACACACCCCAAAAGTGACAACAGAAAGGAAAAGAACCAGTGGTGGTAAGTTTGCAGGTATCCTAATTTTCCAAGGGTCCTAATTTTAAACAGCTGATCTCTATCAACAGAACTACTTAAAACATCAAGTAGAGTCCCCATTCACATCATTTTCCTAGGTCCCTGGCAATATTTTTTAGGATTACTTTCAGTCACAGAGGGTCTGGAATTGGGGCTCTAACCTGAATTTCAGGTCTGCCTTTTCATTCTTCTTTTCCTGTCCCCTTTCTGCCTTGCTGCTCATTAGTGTGGCTGTCACCTCTGACCCAGTCCCTGGCTTGATGTGATCTTATATTCTGGGCTGGGCTCAGCTTTAAGAGACCTCCCTGTAACTGTGGAGGAAAGTCTCATTCTCTGAGGAAGAAGAGGAGCTTCATAAGCAGGTGGAGGGATTCATGCTTCTTCTGGGGGTGGGCTTTCCTTTTCGCACAGCTGTTAGAAAAGTCACTTCAGGTAACAGTGCACCATGGAAAGTTCTGCCGTGGTCTTGTCTTGCTGACAATTGCTCTCACCCTCTGCCTGTCTAGCGATGGCTTTTCTTTGACTGAAGATAGCATAAAATAAACAGTTGGCAAATGTGCTGCTGGAGAATGGAATTCCATAAAAGTCATAAAACTAACAGACAAACAATCAAACATGCTTTGCTTGTGGCTTATGGTATTTTGATGTGGGAACGCATAGAAACAACAGAGAAACGAAGAAAGCAAGCTTGAAACTCCAGCTAATGACAGTTTTCATGTCCACAGGAGCTGAGTTCTGGGTGGATTCTGAGGGAAAATGAAGCTGGAAGGAGCCTTATTTTCTCTCTCCTGATTTACTAGTTAGTTCTATGGAAACCAGTTAATCATACCAGCTCCAAACCACTCTTTAAATGAACCAGAACCCATGGAAAAGAGCTGTAGGATTCCTTCCAACGCTCCCCCACCCCCGCTGAACTGTCCCTCACCTTCCTAGGGATGAACAAGGTATTTCATGTATCATTCTCCATTTTTCAGCCCAAGGTAAATAATTATTCACTCTTAGAATGCTGCACGTAATCTCTGAACATACATATGTTGCTTTAAATCTGCTCCGTGAGCTTATCACATCTTGAAGAAAGAATCATATTTAATTGAAGATTTCTAACTCCAATAGCATAAGCATCTGTGCAACCATTTATCTACTCATTCATACAAACATTTATTGGATTTACAAATTTTGACTGAAAACCTACTCTGTAGCAAGGCACTTGGGAAAGCTCTGGGACACATAGAGAAATGATGAAGTCAGTCCCTTAAGAAGGAGCTTAAAATCCATCGGGCCCATGAACTGATGAAAAGATGCTCCACCTCACTCATAATAAGAGAAAAGCAAATTAGAGCTGTATGAAGATTTCTCCCAATAGACTAGAAAATCCTCCATAGTGATAACCCACTGTGTTGGCAAGGCCGTAGGGAAGCAGGCAATCTCAGATATTGCTGGCAAGAATGCAAAGTAGTACAACTCCCCAAAGAGGGCAATTCTCAAATCTCCATTAAAATTATAAATATATGTAGACTTTGATGCAGTGAGCCCATTTGCAGAAATTTATTCTACGGTTATACATGCACACATACAAAATGATATAAGGGCAAATTATTTTTTGCAGTGCCATCTATAACAGCAAGAGATTATTAAAAAACACATCCATCAATAAGGGTCTGGTTCTACATATAATGGAATACCATGCAGGTGACAAGAAGAATGATGTGGAAAAATCTTCAAGATCTATTATTAAGTGAGAAAAGCAAAACCCAGAGAAGTGTGTATAGCATGTTATTTATTTATTTTTCGTAAAAAGATGGAAAATAAGAATATACATTAATATTTGCTTGAGTTTGTGCAAAGAAACTCTGGAATACACAGGGAGGTCATGAAAGTGGCTTAGAGTGCTGGTGTTGTGGTGGCAGGGAGACATCGTGCCTGGTGGGGATAGAGCAGATGGGGAGAGAGGTGGGAGCAAAACCCTTTACTGTATGCCTCTATATTGTTTGGATTTAAGAGTCACATGGCTGTATTACCTCTTCAAAAAATAAAATAGGTATGTTTTAAAAATTTTTTTAGGGAAGACATCACATGTTCCAATAATGTGTACAATACACGTTGCTGCCTTATTTTCTTATTAAATTTAAAACTCCTTGAGGGATGAATCACATAAGAGCCTTTTAAACTAATCTCTCACATGGTTTCTCCCTCTCCAATTTCTCTTATAAACCCTTGCCAGATTGATCTTCCCACATACCCCTTTAGACAGATTGCCAGAAATGTTTCCTTAGGGTCTCTGCATCAAATTCAAACATCTCTGTTTGACTTTTAGGTCTCTCCCCAAACAAACTCACCTCACCCAACCGATGCAATCTAATGTCTACTCCTGAGATCTCCAACAAGCATCTTGTGCTCCCATCAGGCTGGGTTCAACATTGTTCTTGAACGTTTCCATCCCTGTGCTTTCGCTTGTGCTATTTCCCCTGTCTCTGGGGATGCCTTCCACTTTGCCCTCTGTTTATCCTGAACCTCACTGTCTTCCAAGGCCCCTCCCTTCCCTAAAGACTGTGCCTTGAGCCCATACTGATCTATCCCTTATGTGACCTCCGCAATACTTACCATCAGTAGTGCAGGCTTAACTTTGACTCCGTGTAAGATTGTTAGATCCTTAGAGATAAAGCCTGTGGGACCTAAACACACACACACACACACACACACACACACACACACACACACACACACACACCACTGGGACCCTTGGGAGGCAGCAACATCAACCATACACATCTACAGCTTTCTGGGTCCTACTAAGAAGAGGTTGTCCAGTCACAACTGTAAGGACTGGCTAGACCTCAACCCATCCCCCACCTTCTGCTTTAAGTGGGGTTTTAGGGACCCTGAGGAAATTCTCCAGTTTCCTGTTAACTGTTACTTGCATAATAGGCACCCTACCTCTAGACCAAACTGAACTCCAAACATTCCTGGCTGTATCTAGGGAACTGAAGGGTGGTCCCACGTGGAGCACCCCCTGCCCCCGCCCCACCATCACCACCAGATGAGACAAGAGGCGAGAG